GCAGATCTCGCGCCACCAGCGCCGCTCGTGGTTGAAGTGCGCCCACCTGAGCCATGGGCATTCCCTGGCGCGGAAGGGTAGGAGAGAACCTTCTGCGGTTGGGCCGTCCTCGCAGTGCGGGAGGGGGGAAGGCCGTCTGTTCGTGGGCCCGTTGCTGCACTTCCGTTTCCTCACCATCCGCGGGCGCGTAGGGGGGAAATGCAGCCGATATAGCTGCGTCACTGGTAGAAATGCGCGCGCGGGGGGAACTTGAGCCAGCGCAACGGACCCAGATGCTGCGGCAGTCGCGCGCGACGATCGGCACGGAGCGGGCCAGAGTGGGGGGCAGGGGGGGGGTCATGAGTAGGTGGGCAGCTTCCGCTGCAGCGATGGGGTCACAAAGGTTGACTTCCCGAGCGTCGATCCCCGGAAAGTATGGGGGCGGGGAGGGGGTGTTGCCATTCCACTGCATGTGAGATGCGTCAGCGGAAACGCCCTCCCTGCGGAGGGAGTTCGCCCAGTAGACCCCAATGGTGGCCAGGCTATCAGCGGCTTTGTTCAACCGGCGCCTAACAGCCTGCCAAGTGAGGACCCTACCAGCGCCCTCGACCTGCCCTGAGGCGTCCTCCATCTGCTGAGCCAGATGTAGCCTACGGTACCTGGCAGTGCCGGCCCCATACCTCACAGCGGCAAGGTTGTCGCCCACAATACGGAACGTGCGGGTAGGGCTGTCAATGTGGGGAAGCAGTGCTAGTCCTGCTCGGCAGCCTGCTACCTCGGCCATCTGGGCGTTGTCACAATCCAGAAGAGCAACACTGGCTATGGCGAGCACCCGGGGTGCCCCAGTGTTGGGGTTGTGGTGCCAGAGGATGGCCCCGGCGCCCGACACCTTTCCTGCGCTCCCGAGTGTTCTCGCCCCTCCGTCGAAGGTGACCTCGTAATACTAAGGCCATTGGTTGGAGTCGGTGTCGGGAAAGGGTGAGTCACGAACCGTGATCTCGTCAACGGGCTCGAGTCTAGAGTTGGCCGTAAGAGTGGTGGTGTGGGGCCTGCACTCCCGGCAGTAGTTGGACGCCCAGTAGGCAGTGGGGAAGTTGTCGGTCCGTGGGCAAGGAAACCAGCTTCTGCCTGGAGGCATCCAAGCAGCCCGCGTGTGCGGGGACTGCAATACCACGATTCTATCCTCTGGCTCATGGTGCCTTGTGACCACCGGGAGTCTGCGAATCTCGCCTCCTGCCCTGCCTGCGCGTCGCTGCGAGTGGGGCCTCGCAGCGCCGCAGACCGACCCGGCTGGGACGGGACAGGGGTTGCACGTGCGACATGCGTCTCTCAGGGCAGTCCACGCTGCGGTCTCGTTGGGACCGTTGGCCCTTGGGGGGTCATCGCCTCTGAGCTCTTCATCCTCGCTCTCGTCGTGATAGTCATCGTCGGGGGTAGCCAACCCTCGCATGATGAGTCTGGCGGCGTCGCCTGCTTCAAGAGGGGGGGCTGTGAGGTTGACGGAACACCTGAAGGAAATCTGGCGTAGAATCTTGGAGAGTAATGGCTGGTGCTCGCCTTCGCTGGCTATGGCTTGGGCGAGGGTCGCTGGGTCGTCTGGGCCCCGTATGGTGTGCCGGACTAGGGCAGCTGCTGGGCATCAGTGCCAGACATGTTCAGCGGTCGCGTCGCCCATCCCGCAGAGCGGGCAGCGCCCATAGAGTCCGACTCTGACAGGTGGCCGAAGCTGCCCACCCGAATTTGCGTATGAGACCGCATGCCCCCTGAGAGGGAGCGGTAGGACCTCGGGGGGCAAGGTGTGCCAGAGGGCGGAGGTGTGCGGGCCCGCCCCGACGCGCCTTGCACGCCAGGCCGCTCCCTCGTCGTTCGGCCCGGCAGTGGTCCACGCTCTGTTGGCCGGCGCCCCGCAGGTGCACCTGTGGGGGATTCTTTCGCCGTCGCCCTGGCGTCTTGCCGAGCCGGGGAGGCCGTCGCAAAGGATCCTCATCGCGCGGCGCGCCGCCGTGAGGGTGGGGCAATGGCGAAGCAATTGCCACTCTTCCCCTCTGGAGGGCTGCCATCTTCTTCCTTGGCTGGATTCCTGGGGCCATGCAGTGAGGCGTCGGCTTTTCATCTGGGCCCAGGCTGCGGTGTAGGTGATCCTGCCGAAGCGTTTGCCCTCCAAGAGGTGGGGCTGCTGCTCAGCGAGGAGCAGGGCCCGTGCGGCCTTTCGTTCGGTGATCATCTTAGGACGCAGGGGAACTGCCTCGGGCGTCTGTGCTGCGCGGGCTTCCCATTTCAGCAGCTTGTCCCATCTGATGCTCGCTCGTTTCCGAACGGTGCTGGGGCCCCAGAAGTCGTTGAGGGCGCATGCTCTAGCGGCGACCGCGCGAGCCGTCGCAACTGGGCACCTGGGGGCGCCCAGTGCTTGGAAGCGGATGCCAAGTCCGGTCAGTGCGAAGTCGGGGGCCCAGGATGCCCCCGCCAGCCCGAGAGCCGTCCTCAGCTGGGTTAGTAGCTCGCGCTCCTGCACCAAGTCGGGGGGGGGGCATAGAGCGCTGCATAGGGGGCCAAGGAGATCAGGTGGGCGTTCCATGCGGGAGCCGTCCGGGATGGCGACATCTTGGCAAGGTGCAGCGCGAGGGCTCTCTCCCTAATTTTGGGAAAGGGGCGGTTCCACGTGCCTTTGCAGAGGGCCTCCTCTTGTTCCTTGGTGAATCCCTCGTTTTGTGGGGGGACGTCGCCTTCTGCCGCGCGGGATACCACCACTGCCCCCAAGTAGGGCCATTGATCTCAAACCGCTGAGCCTCCAAATGGGGTGTGTTCCAAAAGGGTGCCCCACCACTCTTGCTTGCCTGCTGGGACGAGTGCTGTCTTGAAGGTGCAGTTGCAGCCGCGTTGATAGGGCGAACGCCGGATCGGCCCCCAATTGCCGGCATGTCCTTCCGCGAGCGCCTTGATCAAGTTTCCTGGTAATCCAGAGATCAGCACGTCGTCCCCATCCTGCTCATAGTGAACGGGTACCTCTTCCAACGCGGCACGGAAGGTGGGGGAGTCCTCGGTGCGTATACCACTGCATTTGTGTGCCTCAACCAAGAGGCCGGCGGCCTTGGCAGCCCAGGGGAGGGCGATGGCGGCGCGTAGCGTCTGCTTCGTTGTGCTGAGCAGGGCGGCGAGGTCATCCACGTAGGTCGGGTCGTCGTCCCCAGTGATGGACGAGATAACGGCGATGAGTGGGTCGTACCCCAGGCTCCACAAGAGGGGGGAGGCGGTTCCCCCCATGCCCACAGACCTCAGCAGGCGTCGTTCGGGGCCTTTGTATTTCCCTTTGCATGTCATCACCCTTCGCTCCGATACCAAGGAGTTGAGCGAGTGCAGCAGCCACGAGGGGAGTTCCCATTTCTGGAGGAGACTGTCCATCCATTGGAGTGATATCCGCTCGAAGGTTTTATTCTGGTCGCAGAAGATTACCGCTGTCCCCGGGGCTTCACCCACCTCTGACGCGGCCTGATCGACAACATCCTCAACAATTGCTGCGTGCTGCCCGAGGAGCGCAGCCCATCCAGGGCCGGGCGCCTCTGGTGGCTTGGGGGAGAGCTCAAGTGCTGGGTGACCTTGGTGATGTTAGTGGGGATACGCGAAGCGTCACTTCTGACATGATTATGTCCCATCGGTCGTTCTAAACATAAATTCATACCACTCCAGCCAATTTGGCATTCATCACCCCTTCACCCCTTGCAAGAATTACCATGTGCGCGCACTTCTTCATCTTTAAAGTTTTGTTTCCAATGAAGGCTCCGGCGCAAGGTTTTGTTTAATTTGTGGGCCAATGGCCTTGTACCAGAAAGGTGTCGAGCAATAAGCGTCGGTACAGGGCTCGTAAAAATACGTGTGCGGAGGGGGGGGTCTCCAACATGAGTCTCGACACGCGTGCGTTCGGCACGTGTTTGACGTGTTTTGGGCCACGACTGGGCCGCAAGCGAGCGATCTAAATTGCAGGTGCCGAATTCTTTAACAAGTGAAAATGGGTGCTCGTGCTTAAGGACCACATCCCAGAAATAATTTCGAGCACCCCAAATAATCTCGAAAAAGTGTCGCACGAGTATCACCTCCCAGGGCCCGACACGTGAAACCCCTTCAGTTTAGGTACTTGCTTGGTGCTCGAGATTCTTTCTAGTGGTCAAGGCTAAAGTAGGTTGGAACATCATAATGTTCGGGTGCGTTTTCGCCAGTCCGCGCCCCCATGACATCATCGCCTGCTCGGCCTGCGCGCACGAGTGGTCGTGATGCGGGGCCTCCGAGAGCGTGGGGGTACCCCTCCGATGGGGGTCAACCTCGCCTCGTCGTCGCGCCGCGACGGCGGGGGTAACGCCCCCCGACGCCGTTGTAAGGATCAAACTCACCCCACGATCAACCGCATGGCTGCGCTGATCGACTGGCGCCAGACTCCCGCCACCCTTGGCGTGCCGCTGGCGTGCCACCGCCTTGGCGGATGATGTTTATCATGATTCTGATTATGATTATGATGATGCTGCTGCTGACGAGGACGACGGTGATGACGATGACGATGACGATGATGCTGCTGATGATGGTGATGATGATGCTATTGGTAGTGGTAGTGACGATAAGGATGAGGATGCTGATGATGATACTGATAATAAGAATGATGACGGTAATGATGGTACTGCTGATGTTAATGGTGATGATGATGCTGATGATATTGGTGGCACTGAAAATGAATATGATATTGAAGAAGATGATATTGGTGGCCCTGATATTGGTGATGCTGATGATATTGAAGAAGAACCATATGAATATGATGATGATGATGATGTTGATGATGATGATGATGATGTTGATGATGGTGATGATGATGATGATGATGATGATGGTGATGGTGATGATGATGATGATGATGATGATGATGATGATGATGATGATGATGATGATGATAAGGGTGGGATGGCGCGCGCCAAACGCCTTCTCAAATTTCTCCGCTCTCGTCGGCTCTGCCTTCCTTCCACGTCCCCCCCGCGCGTGGCGAAATCCTCCATGCGCAGCAGCTTGTTCAGGAGGGCCTGGACCTGGTCCCGCGAGCGGGCGTCGCGCGGGGGGGAGAAGGGGGTGGGCGTGCCGCGCCATGGGACGGACGCCACGTGTTGAAACCCACGAGTTGCACGGCGCACGTCGTGCATCATGCAAGCTGCTGCCGCAAGCTGCGTCTGTTCACTGGTAGGCGGTTGATCCATGTAGGGTGTGGTCGGGCTTGCACCTTTCCAGGCGGGTTTTGGGCGAAAAACTAATCATAGCCAAAAATACATCAAAAGAGTCGAAAATAGTTAAAACTCGTCCCCAGACTATTTTTTTACAATTTTTGGATATTCCTCCTGTAGAGGGACACGCCCGCCTTAAATGTGGGGTCCACGTGCCGACATCACGTGACAGCGGCGCAGGGCAGCCCGCCGCAAGCGCCGGATCGTCTCCGGGCCGCGCGGGCAGGTCGCTACATCGGATCGCAGGCAAGTCAGCTTGAGTGCAGTCGGCCCGCATCAAGAGGATGCGCGATGCCCATCAGTCGGAAAAAGTCGGTAGAAACATGAAGTAGGAAGGCGTTGGAAGTAGATTGGGCTTCCGCCCGCCCCCTGAAGAGGAAGGAAGAGGGGAAGCCACTCGATCATTGAAATAGGAAGGCGCCTAAAGTATATTGGAAACTGGGAGTCCAAAAATGCTTACTTTCAATGACCGATGAATACAATCGACCCGCATCATCAGGATGCGCGATAAGGATGCAAGGGCCTTGGAAGGCCGTTCCGAAGCTTGACGAGCGGGGCCGAAGGCGGGGTTCGCGAATCAGATGCACACGGCCGGCCTCTCCCACGCCTTCCTGCGCCAGAGGCGCCAGTGCATCGGAGCACAATTTGCGACCTCCCCTCCCAAATCCCCGCTCCAAACCCTGCAAGCGGGTGGGTTTTCAATTGCGCCTTCGAAGAATTGATTTTGCCGCGCACAATCCCCCCCGCCCAGAGTTATGACGATGTATCGACAATTTTGCGTCCCGATTTATCACGCACTACAGGCTCGGAAACATTTCTCTTGACGCCACAACGGGCCCCAACAACAACAACCGAAAGACGAGTGATACCTTCTGCGCCCAACCCTGTCCGCATCAGCGGGTGCGCGAGCCAAAGGCCCCCCCCAAAAAATTCTAAGAGGCTTCCGCCCGCGGGGGGGGGCTCAGGGGGTGATCCACTCCTTTTATTAGAATTTGAGTAAGGAGAGTGGATGGAGCCTGGTTTGGGCGATTCTGCCTGGGACGTCCTCAAAATCTGCCTGGTTCGGGGCCTGGTTTGGCTTGGTTTGGCCTGGTTGGGCGGCGCGCCCCGCCCGAGACATCCTCAAAATTTGCCTGGTTTGGCCCCTGGTTTGGCTTGGTTTGGGCCCGTTTCGCTTGAGAGGTCCTCACAATGTGCCTGGTTTGGCTTGGTTTGGGTCTGGTTTCGCTTGAGACGTCCTTGCAATTTGCCTGGTTTGGCCCTGGTTTAGCCTGGCTTGGGCCCGAGACGTCCTCGCAATTTGCCAGGTTTGGCCTGGTTTGGGCCTGGTTTCGCTTGAGACGTGCTCACAATTTGCCTGTTTTGGCCTTGGTCTGGCTTGCTTTGGGGCCGTTTCCCTGGAGACGTCCTTACAGTTTGCTTGGTTTGGCCTGGTTTGGGCCCGTTTCGCTTGAGACGTCCTCACAATTTGCCTGGTTTGGCATGGTTTGGGACCGGTTTCGCTTGAGACGTCCTCACAATTTGCCTGGTTTGGCCTGGTTTGGGACCGGTTTCGCTTGAGACGTCCTCGCACTTTGCCTGGTTTGGCCGTGGTTTGGCTTGGTTTGGGCCCGGTTTCGCTTGAGACGTCTTCGCAATTTGACAAGTTTGGCTTGGTTTGGGCCCGGTTTCGCTTGAGACGTCTTTGCAATTTGCCTGGTTTGGCCCTGGTCTGGCCTGCTTTGGGCCCGTTTCCCTGGAGACGTCCTCACAATTTGCCTGATTTGGCCTGGTTTGGGCCCCTTCGCTTGAGACGTCCTTGCAATTTGCCTGGTTTGGCCTGGTTTGGGACCGGTTTCGCTTGAGACGTCCTCGCAATTTGCCTGGTTTGGCCTGGTTTGGGCCTGGTTTCGCTTGAGACGTCCTCGCACTTTCCTTGGTTAGTGTTCGCATGCGCGCACTTTCGCCGGATACGTCCTCACACCGCGGATGGTCTGAAACATAATGGTTTTCCAATAGCAAGTGGGGTAGATCAGGCGACCCAAGCACAAGTAGCCCAAACGGGCGGTTCCTTTTTAAAAATGTGCGTGTTTGGCGGTGACAGCAGTATGTCCCCCCAAGGGGTCCCCCCCTTGAAGGGAGGGGGCGGTGTCTCCCCGCGGCACGTCTCCCCTCCCGAAGGGGGATCAGCGCTGCACCAGGGGCCTCTCCTTGCAAGGGAGAGGTGGTCGGCCAGACCGAGACACTGGCCAGCAGTGAGGCGAGAACAAGGGAGTGGCCGGCATTCGGGCGAGAGCGCACGTGAACGTCCTAGCCGCCATCGTCGTCGTCGTTGTCGTCGTCGTCGTCGTCGTCGTCGTCATCGTCGTCGTCGTCGTCGTCGTCGTCGTCGTCGTCGTGGTCCTGGTCGTGGTCGTGGTCGTGGTCGTCGTGGCCGTCGTCGTCGTGGTCGTGGTCGTCGTGGTCGTCGTGGTCGTCGTGGTGGTCATGGTGGTCGTGGTGGTCGTGGCGGTCGTGGTGATGGTGATGGTGATGGTGATGGTGATGGTGATGGTAATGGTGATGGTGATGGTGATGGTGTTGGTGGTGGTGGTGGTGGTGGTGGTGGTCGTCGTCGTCGTCGTCGTCGTCGTTGTGGTCCTGGTCGTGGTCGTGGTCGAGGTCGTGGTCGTCGTGGCCGTCGTCGTCGTGGTCGTGGTCGTCGTGGTCGTCGTGGTCGTCGTGGTGGTCATGGTGGTCGTGGTGGTCGTGGTGGTCGTGGTGATGGTGATAGTGATGGTGATGGTAATGGTAATGGTGATAGTGATGGTGATGGTGGTGGTGGTGGTAGTCTTCGTCGTCGTCGTCTTCGTCTTCGTCGTCGTCGTCGTCGTCGTCGTCGGGTGCTTTGGGCGCTCCGATACACATTGAGTTAGTTATGTCACGTGATGTATGGAACTGAAAGAGAAATTAATTCATACACGTGGTGGGCATCATCACACTTGTGACGTTATGCCCCGTGGGGGGTCCCAAGACACATTGGGATGTGCCGAATGGTATACGTCACGTGGCACAGCCACCACTGACAGAATGCCTGCGGGTATCCGGCGTTCGGCCACGTGGTGGCGTCAAGAGAAAACCTTTCCCAGCCTGTAGTGCGAGGTAAATGCCCTGTCACCCTGGACTCGCTCGTAGAAGCCCCTTAGCCACCACCCCGTGTACTACCGCCCCGTTTGCAGGGCTTGGCCGCTGCTCGCCCGACCCGAGTGGCGAGGCAAGCTGTGGCGCGGGTCGCGGGCCAAGAGGAGCAGGAGGAGGAGGAGGAGCAGGATGAGGACGAGGACGAGGACGATGAGAAGGAGGAGGAGGAGCAGGAGGAGGAGGAGGGGGAGGAGGAGGGGGAGGAGGAGGAGGGGGAGGAGGAGGAGGAGGAGGAGGAGGAGGAGGGGGGCGGGGGGAGGAGGGAGGAGGAGGGAGGGGGAGGGAGGGAGGGAGGGAGGAGGAGGAGGAGCAGGAGGAGGGGGAGGAGGAGGAGGAGGACGACGAGGAGGAGGAGGAGGACGACGAGGAGGAGGAGGAGGCGGAGGGGGGAGGAGGGGGAGGAGGAGGAGGGGAGGAGGAGAGGAGGAGGAGGAGGAGGATGGGAGGAGGAGGAGGAGGAGGAGGAGGAGGAGGAGGAGTGAGGAGGAGGAGGAGGAGGAGGAGGAGGAGGAGGAGGAGGAGGATGGAGGAAGGGGCGAGGAGGAGGAGGAGGAGGAGGAGGAGGAGGAGGAGGAGGAGAAGCGGGAGGAGGAGGAGACCACGAGGGCGCATCGCAGGCAGGGCACAAAGGGGCGAGCCCTGGGGCGGCTCGCAGGGGCGGGCCGCGGAGCGGCTCGTCAGAGGCCCGCGCCGCGGGGCGACGACACGACAATCATTATGTTGCCCCCATCGCACTTCAAGACTACATTCCAGAAATAATTTCGAGCACCTGGAAGAGTGTCAAAACAGTGTCGGGCGAGTGTCTCCCAGGGCCCGACACGTGAAAACCCTTGAGTTTCGGTACTTTTCTGGTGCTCGGAATTCCTTTTGGCGATCAAAGCTAAAGTAGATTGAAACATCATAAGACAAGAACAGCAGCAAATCCGCACCGTGGAACCCCACTTCACCGGTGCTCGGCGGCGAGCGACGGGGGGGAGTGAGGAGAAGGCCTTCTTAGAGGGCGGCGGGACCTCTCAGAAGCCCTCGCGCCTTCTGAGAAGTGTTTCTGTCTTCGAGGCAGGCTTAGAGAACTTCTCAGAAGGCCGGGGGGCCTTCTGAACCTTCGAGAAAATGTGATCCACCGCCGCTTTACTGTGGAAAATTCCCCCCCTTTTCCTCCAGAAACCGGAGTTCCCCCCCCCTCCCGAAAATCTCCCCCCCTGCTCGACCCCCCCCCCTTCCCCCGGCAAAACCCCACCCCCCTAACCCCGCCTCCCGTCCCCTTCGAAAAAAGTGGGCGGCGTCACTACCGGTTCGAGCCCCCCCCCTTCCAGAAAACCAGGGGAGGTCAGTACCGGTTTGAACCCCGCCCCACTCGCCGCTGGCAAACGACTCCCGGGCCCCCATCACCGTCCCCACCACCGCCCTCACCACTGTCCCCACCACCGCCGTCCTCGCCACTGTCCCATTGTCCCCACTGTTCCCGCCACTGTCCCCACTGTCCCCACAAGTGCCCCCACCACTGTCGCACTGTCCTCGCTGTCCCCACCACTGCCCCCATCACGGTCCCACTCTGCCCGCTGTCCCCACTGTCTCCACCAGTGTCCCACTGTGACCACCACTGTCCCACTGTCCTCACTGTCCCCGCCGCTGTCCCACTGAGCTATCCCACT